GTCTTCCACGATGGCGGTTAAATCTTAACATTTCCCGTATGGCCACAGTCGAATCGTGAACAACACTCCTGAGGTCACGGCGAGATCGAAAACACATTATCAATGTCTCCAACGGGGTCATAGCAAACCCTTGAATATAGATGCACATCGGAGCCACGCACAGTTAAGCCCGTAATCCTTAAAATCCCCATCAACTACGCTGAACTCCGCACACGACCCGTCAGAGGTACCTGAATCTTCCGGGTTCCTCCTCAATGGTTTTCTACTGTGTCATTCTCCTACACAACATTACATTGGCGAACCTTAGAGTACTTGAATGGAATAAAATACTCAATCGCTTACTTATTATCAGATACTAGCCGCTATACTCGCTATATTACAGTACTATGATATCTAGTACGATATACAAGTGGTGTGGATGCACTTACGAATATACTGTAATAATTGGTAACAGAGCCCATTAGTGGCATTTTAAGTAACTTGTTCCACAGTTTCAATGGATTCACATTTTCACTCTTACCATTGATAATAATAGTTGTTGATCTACTGTATGGAACTTAAAGTTTAAATTGCTGCTACATTCCTATCCTCTAAATAGGCTACTATATTAGAGTTTAATAGAGGAATCATGAAATCACCAATTAGTGAACAATGTGCCGTAATTATTTTTAGCAACCGAGGACTACCATACCTCTGCGCTCTATTGAGAGTTTTAGAATTCGTACTTTGCACCCGATGACCAGTCTAATCACACTTAGGACTAATGACCGGGGAATTACACTTTTATGTGTCAACATATTATTTCTCAGTTACTGTGGACTATCGCTCAGCTGCTGCTTTGAAGGCTAACTGTTAACATTGTCTGTTACTAGATATTCAATTTTAGAGGTGTACGATAAGTTTTTAGTTATTGTTTTATAATATTTAGCCTAGTTTTGATTCAGTAGGTTAAGTAGGAAAACTTAAGCTATAATGTTTAAAGCTTATAGTAATAGAGGTGCTGTTAATGTCTTAAAGGGGCATTTTGATTACCGACCACTCGGGATTCTAAAAAGTGAAACTCAATGGTACGTATTCTATTCTATTTTACTACAATATGCCATCATTATCTAAAGGCTGAATTTGTAAAAAAAAACTCGTCGCCAGCCAGCAAGCATAAAGATATCTAACTTCTGTAATTATTAACATAAACGTATTTAGATATGGGAATACATAGATCTCTTTCCTCCCTTTCGTCTAGGCTGCTCGAATAGCGGACAAGTGACAAAACACTAACGCGTGCGAGATATTCCACTCTCGGTGTAGCAATAGCAATAATTCTTTGTCACACCAAATGTGCTTTTTTCATTTTTGAAAATTTCGAAATCGATGCAATCAGACGCTTATGTGTGGCTAAACCCAACGGAAGTCCCAAAAAGTAGGAGGAAGACCTACAGAAGAGGACTTCCTTTTGAAATTATCGACCAATTAAATAATGAACAAATAAATTTGTTTACTATGTAATGTGCATAGGATACAAAAATCACTACTGTGAAGGTATTGTATGATGACAAGTTAGACGTTATTTTATTTGTCACCATTTCCCTAATTAGTCTCAATTCGCCCACGGTCCCAGATTATCCCTTATAATCCTCAGGTCTACCTGTGTCAGGAGTCTCATTCCATCCACGGAGGTGAAGCTCCGCCTCCTAGGTACCCACCCTCCCCCAACTATGACCCCATCACCTTCCACCTCCGACTAGACGGTTATTGAAGCTTAAAATATTTGTTAGACAAACCAAGCGAATTTCCTTTATAGTATTAATGTAAAGTCGGAACACAAAGATCTCAGCATTAAAATATAAAGTGGCATTGTGTCCTTATTGATTGGTTAAGTTAAGCTGAAATAAACAAAACAGAATACAGTAATACTAACAAATAATCACACCTGAGGTAATAAATTGAAAAAACAACAAACAAATAAGTACAGCTGAGGTATATTCGCATAGTATGAAACATAACGTCGAGGAAAACATCTATTACTTATTTAATACGCAAGCAGGTTTTTTGTGATAGTTACTGCTCCGAAACTACTTAATAATGTTGTTGTAATTTTTTTAACGATTGACATGTTTTTGGTGTCATTGGGAAGAGCATAACGTGAAGTTGTGCAGGAAACTTTCTTTTTAGGGGAATAATTAAAGAGTGAGGCCCTGGGGCCCTATAAAGTTTCGTATTTCTCCATAAGATTAACATGGGAAACAAACATTGTTATGAAACTCCAATGTTGTCCACCTGTTGTCAGAAATTAAAAGTGGCAAGAAGAACATATGTTACACAAGCTGAGAAAAAAGGTTTTAAAGAAACGTGCTTGCCTTTTAATAGATGTAGATAAATTCTGCTTTCACTGAAGCGATCTAAAAAACCATTAACTTACAATTTTCAGAGCTGCTGCGTGAAAGATAATTTGATTCTTAATTTGTTTAAATATAACAATAATTTGTTTTATATTTGAGCTTTTTAGGGACATGTCCCTAGTCCCTACATGCCACTAGTTATGTTTAAATTTGAGTAGGTAATTCTAGTTTCTATCTTAGAGTTGTTTGAAAACTTGTGAGAAACTAATTTTAAATATCTCTATTTGCGTCATCAAGGATCAAGTACATTATTTCTGCTCTAAGTTTCAACTGATAACTTCTAATAAATGCTAAACACCCTGTTTCAATTCGAGTTAACATGTTGCAACAAAGTTTTTCCAGCATTAAGAATTGAAGAAAACTGTTGCTTTACTGAGATAACCTGTGTTAAGTATTTTAAGTAGGGTAATTTCTTTATTTATCTCTTTGATTTGAGACATCCCCTAAGCCAACGAATTTTTCTCCGTTGGGAATCCTGTAAAGTGGGGTGATGTCAACAATTGCATGTGGTCCATGTTTGACCCACTAACTCTGGGTTAAATCACAACACAACCATAATCCGCTTTTAATAGGCTAAAGCAGAAAGCAGCAACACCATTGAAAGTTGATAAACTTATTTTAACGTGTTGTCTGTCAGTCATAGAATATACCCCGCATCAGATCATTCTCACGTTGTTCAGTGGAGTTTCTCCTAATACCTGTCCCAAAGTTTTGAAAGTATGGATTCATTTGTCAAAAAAGGTTGGATAACTCTTGTAGCTGTAAGATTTGGATAACAATTTTAATTTACTCTCTTTGAACAGCGTATATTATTTGAATCCCCTAAATTATAAAAATAAACTTGACCGTAACAACTCAATCGTTGAATACATCGTTGAATGGATCGCAATGTTATATCGTATGTTTCTGTTTGTTGTTAAACGCTATAATCCAAATAATTTAACTTGCTTATTAACGAACTTTAGATGGGGAGACAATCATACAGTAACTAACAGCACATGGGTAGTAAATTTTATTAATCTATTATGTCGTAAATATAGATTACTGTTGAAGCTTTTCAACCCAAACGAATGTTCCAGATTATAAACATTTAACATATCTTTATAACGGCTACATAAATAAGGACATATACCATTTTATATTTTAATGCTGAGATCTTTGTGTTTCAACTTTACATTAATACTATTAAAGGTATTCGCTTGGGGAGGGCATTTCCATATTTGGGGGAGGGTGAGGTCCTTGGAGGCGGGGGTTCGCCTCCGTGGATGGAATGAGAATCCTGACGCAGGTAGAGCTGAGGATTATAAGGGTTAATCTGGAACCGTGGGCGAACTGAGACTAATTAGGTTACGGGCGAATTGAAACTCGGGCGGAATAGGACTACACGTGCGGGGTTGTGTCGATCTAAATTTTGGCGCGTGACTTGAGTGCGCCCTATATACACATATCAATCCTTGTACTGTACCGGCTCACCCTTTGTTGAACATGAATACGTTCCATGCACAGATCCGTAGCCTATGTGAATGTGCAAATGCAAAGGTTAAAAGAGGCTGCCAACCTTTTTAAAAATAAGAAAAAATGTGATTTGCCAGTACCTCTTTCTGTGAAGGTTGTCACCCTAGCTATAGAGAACTAAAAATTAATTTTGCATCATATCTCAGAATGCATCATTATCTACCATCCGTTTGTGATGAATGAGCGGTGTGGGCTCATTTGAAGGTCTTAGTCAGAGGGGACCACCTCCAAATTACAGATTTTCTACGTCATATTCTCCTTCTAAAAATGCAACCTAGAAAAAATACGAATTTAGATATATGAAAAATGTAAGTAGGCCTATAATGTGTCCCACAAAAAATGTATTACCATGCAGTAAAATATTTCTTACTTCATGATAAAATTATCTGACATACCTACATAATATCCACATAAATTAACTACTACTGTGGTCCTTTCAAGTAAACATAAATTATTTAGGTTTTATACATTTGTGTACATGTACATGGATTTTACCAATTTTACTTTTATTTTTGCACAACTAAATCATACTAAACCTCTCTTAAAACAGTGATTATAGCAGTAAAGTAAAATTATATATGTATATGCTGATTGATCAGTATAAAACAGTGCTTAGATAGGCATTTGAATATTTATTGCAAACTGTAGAAGTAGAAAACTGAAACCACAGAGCGAACCTGGACTATTCATTGTAATAACCAACCTTTCACGTGGCACGAATGAATAGGCCTACGTCACCCAGGACATCACGCAGCATGCATACAGATATTTTTAAATTAATGGATCATTAACACTTATATAAAACAAAAAAAAATGTTTTCGTTCATTAGCAAATGATAAACCTTAGTTTGATTTCAGATGAGAAGATATATCGAAACCCTAATAAAGTGTGTGTAACTTTGCAGCTTAAAAAACTTTTAATGTGAGTCTTAAACTGTGATTTTATAATATTCTTGTTCAAATTGGGTTTGATATCAAGTGCCATTATACAGGTCTAAAACAGATCCACGACCTTCTGACATTATGAGCTTCTATAGATAAGCTTAGCTTGTGTAACTCAGAGCTGTGTTTATTCATTTCTCAAGATAGCATTTTCTTGTACCATTGAGAGCAAAACTAACCATTGTAAGTAGTACCTTTATAGATATCATCATAATATGCAACAATATATAATTCAAAATAGAATCTGTTATTTATTAAACTTGTTTGGCCTAGTTTATCCAAGAAATCGTAAGCCAATACTGTAAGATATTTTTACAACTTAGAAGTGTAGCCAACAAATGTTATAAAAAGTAGTTACCATAGCTAAGATAAAAGTCAGAGTATTATTATTTATCTGTAGGTACTAAAAGAAATTTTATAGTGTTCAAATTAAATATTAATTTGTTTTTAAAAGTTACAATCAAACCCAGCTTTTACAAACCATCTGAAAACCCTGCCAGAATTAATTTGTTACAGTAAATAAAATACACCCACCGCAGCTAACCTGCAGATGCGAATCTCCATTTACTGGTTAGATTTCCACTAAAATAATTACCTGAAAACTATCAGATTTATTTCCTATGACATTAATTTTAACGAGTGCTTAGGTTTGCTGCTACAGAGAAGGTAATGGTGTGTTTTTAAATGAAATGTTGATATCTTAGTTTGAAACCAACAATATTGCCAAGTTTTATTTAAAAATATCCATAAACAAGCCAACTAAAAGAGTTTATTTAGTCTCCATAAGAATAATATGGGAATTAGTTAATTTACATTTTCCCCAGTTACAGTTAGGCAACGCTTTAATATAATAAATTATTTCTTTTTAAGCTCTAAAATGGTTTAGAAATAAATTGTGGCATTTTATGTTTTCAGCTTCAAAATGGGGAAAATGTTTACCCCCCGGTTCACAGAATATGGGGACATAATTATTGCATGATATTTTTTTCATTTTGAGTTGGTCAGTATAACAATTTTTTATTTTTAAGAGAAAACAAGCTGTTATAGAATTATGTCTTTGTGCGTGGACATGCATGTGAACTGTATGGTACTCTAGCCTCTCATTCTGGTGCCTTGCCACATGCGACCCGTGCTGCTAGCGACCCAAAGATTTGGGCTGGAAGGTCAGGGATGTAATTTTCAACCCTGATGTAGTTGGCATGATTAGAAAGAAAGAAATTCTCCAGAAAAAAAAATTATAAGAAATATTCTTTAAAATAACGAGGGAAATGTGGAACAAAAATGAGAAAGGTATTTTGAAAGGCTCGACTTAAGAATGAAACATTTTCGAAGAGTTTAAAAAGAGGACTCACTTAAAGAAATGTTTGAGCGCATTACTGTATGTAGTAAAATTGGAATATTGTCACGGCAATGATACAAAACAATTGTACAGTATAAATAGCTATTTTAAGTCAAGGTAAATCTGTAATTTCAATGTTTTAAAAGTTGGAAATAAAACAAAAAAATATTTAAAATGTGGTTGCTTAGGCCAACGTCAAAACTCATCTTGGTACAAGCTGGAAACCAAGTATAACCCCTCCTACCCGACCATGACGGGAACGGGTCGTGGTCTGATATCGTGAGGAGTACGTCTGATCTCCGCGACATCGGTATCGTCTCCCGCGACAGTGGCAACACCCGAAGGCGGGGACACACTTGTCATACACCCTTCCGATCCTACTACGATCCGATTTTCGGGATTCCAGAAGGATCGGTGCGGGATTGGAGGGGGTGAACCATATGGTTCGATGGGGTGAACACATATGTCATATACGCTTCCGACCCATCTCCGATTTCCTCCTCTGGGTCGATCAACACTCGCCAGTCTGATTTGTAAACTACGTGCAGAAGGTGAAAAACATGTTCAAAAACTTAAGTCAGACATCTCTGGAGGGCAGGAGAAAACGGATAATTTGGGTCCATTCTGCATGTAAGGAAAGTTAGGTGGAAGGGCCCATCTTATATATTAAACACTTAGGTTTTTCTCTCTCGAGTTCGTTTGGCTCTTCTACCCGTCCGATTTTCATGATTGAGGTCTCGAATTAAAGGTATGCACGCACAGATTTAAAATCAAGCATCGGCATATATATTTATCTTAAACCATTGTTCCTAACCCTCGATTATTCTTATACCTTAAGAATACAAGTGATTTTTAAGAAACAACCCGTCCTGCATCCGACAAACGATTAGACTGCAGTGTCGGTGCGTGATCGGAGTCAAAATCGGAGTAGGATCGGAGTATGACGTGACACGTGTCGGAGAGGTGTAAACACCCGCGTTCAAAGTTATATACCATTCCTCTCTCCGACAGTCGTACCACAGTATGATCGGAGTCGGACCGGAAGGGTGTATGACAAGTGTGTCCCCGCCTTTAACGGCAACATCCGCGATCGGCCTTTCGGTTTATTATGTTAATTCAGATCATCTCTCTACCCACATAGAGCTCTGATAGACGGAACATCCGTTCACTTAGATTCTAATGTAGACGTCTCATCTATGTGCAAATCAGATCGTAGTTAAATAACCCAACCAAAGTGTTCTGTTGACAGAGTTTAAAATCATTCTATACTACATGATTTTTTTTACTATGATAGTTGATAGGTATGGCATAAACGGTGTTACAGTTAATCATACGTTGTCGTTTCGGTTTACCTTGGTTAAAAAGTAGTCGTGTTCGACAGAAATCAGTTACACAAGAGCGCTTTGCTGTAGGCGTTGACTCAATTTAATTACGTTCATGTTTGTTCAGAACTTTAACATGGAATGAAATGTTTATCTCCATCCATAATCAAAAATATTACCTAACGCTTTGTTTATAAACTAGGATTACAGGTCAGGTAAATGCAGGTCTTAAACTCTCATGAGTCTTTTAATTTGCTTGTCTTTGCTGGAATGTACAAGGTTTACCTAAGTAAACATCCAAACTTCAGAAAATGGTTCTATGGATCAAAATAAAAAGAAAATCAAGAATAACACTTTTCCAAGATCGCTTTTATCCTTGAATTTGTTTTCAACTGATCATTATAAAACATGGTATGTATGTTCAGGTAAAAGATAAAAAAACTATTTTAATCCAATATAAATTTAAAAATGACGGCGATTTTAATTTTGTATATTAAAATTGCTAAAGAATTAGTAGTTTTTTTAAAAATACGTTTAGAACATTTTTATTTAGCAATTAAAATATCCTATCAAACGACACCAAGTCCAAAGAACAAAAAATAACTGAAATATCACAATTTTGAATTGTAAATGTGCCTCATTTGTTTTGCTTTATTTTCTTGTTGTAGACAGGAATAATATTTTGTTTATGTTTCCTTAAACTTTTAATTAATGCACTTAATTGAGTTTCAGACAAATAATTAAAAAAATATGGCTTTACCTTCGAATAACCTGAAATTGAGATTCATGTGGCAGTACATTGGAGCGATGACAGGTATGCATTATTGTTTATAATTTATAAAAATCGTCAATCATAAACTGTCTTTAATATAATGATGAGGTGTCTCCTATAGGCCTATAGTGATTGGTTGAGAGTATAATTATTACTAGTACTGTACTATATTTATATTTATACTTTTTTCTCATACAGTATATAGTATTTAGAGGAAGTATGGTTTTCGTAAATTTTTTGAGGTTGCATTTTAGGTGGAAATATATGTATTGAGTTTCCCTGAATCCAAAAAAGTGGTTTTTGAAGTGATGAATGTGTGTGTGTGTGTGTGGGTGTGTGTGAGCGTGGATGTGTACAGAGCTACCAGCCTAAACATTTTGTCCGATTGTGATGAAATTTGAAAAATATACTGGCATTTTGTCTCCGTTTGTTGAAATTTTGATTTTTAATTTCATTCTTTATGTTGTTTTTCTGAATCACTAATGATATAATATATTTATGTACATAAGGTTACATTACATTGATCGCCAAGTGATCCATGTAAGTCCGAGGAATAGGATGACGCGTTTCGACGTCAAAGCGTTATTGTTAACATACAAAAACTTGTCTAAACCATATGGTCACGTCACAGTCTTTTCCCGTACGAAACACATAACCGGTACAAAAATACATTTAAAGTAGGCCTTCTAACTAATTCGTGGTGATGTGACAACCGTTTCCCCGAATGAGTTAGTAGGTCTACTTTAAATGTATTTTTGTACCGGTGATGTGTTTTGTACGTGAGTCGAAAAGACTGTGACGCGACCATATGCTTTAGAAAATCTTTTGTATGATTTGACAATGACGATTTGACGTAGAAACGCGTCATCCTATTCTTCGGACTTACATCTCACTTGGCGATCAAGGCAAAGTAACCTTATAAATATATACTGTATATATTATATTATGATTTTTAATGGTGATTTTCCATAAAATCCATTAAATAACGGAAAAATTGTATCATCACAAAACCAGATAAAACGATAAAAACATTTTATGGTTTGGTTTATTTAACTCTAAAAAACGTTAGAACCCCAAATTCTGTAAAAATTACATTCATCAAAATTTTTGTGAATTTCCCATGAAATATAGTTATACTTCCGCCACTTTCCCGTTATAATTGATGTTGACAAGCAAGTGGAGAAAAAGGTCTGTTTGCGGGCAGCCACTTTTCTAACTGAGGAAAAACCACAGTTTAGGTTAGGTTAGTTTAGTTAAAAGCTTTACTCAGTTTTTATTTTTTATTTGCTGAACAGAAATAATCACAAAACCTCAAAAATTACCTAACCTTAACTGTGGATTTTCCTCGGTCGAAATAGTGGCAACCTTCTTACGAAAAAAAGACTCGGAGAAAGTATGTGTCAGTTTTGTTAGTAGTTAACTGATACTATACAGGAATGACCGTTGTCAATATACTAATGCTATACCCCTTATGTAAATGTGTCATTTAAAAATCCAAACTCAATAATTAATTGGACCTTTTGTATGTCATAATTGAGCTTTAGCTTCCTCCCAGACAGCACACTTTCTCCCCAGGACATCCCACGGATATTGCGACAGGATATGCAAGATATCCCATAGTAGTCCTATGGTCAACCTGGGATAGCCCAGGATATCCGCAGGAATGCGTAATGTCCCCGCCCGGGGATGTCCTACGGATCATGGTGGAAGTCGCTACGGATAAGCTCACAGCATATCCGTGGGCAGTGGCGTCATTTCACCAAATGCTTGGGGGGGGGGAGCAAACACCCCCAGCAAACAAGGGGGGTCCGGGGGTCCTTATTTTAATTGTCAAAAGCACTTCAAATAAAAAAAATTATGAGTAAAATTTATTTAAATTTAGGCAGAAAGTTAATGAAACTAAGAATTATTGACAACAGACAGAAACACAATAATTTTATGTTGGTAAGTTAGTCATCTAAGAAACGTGATCAGTTCCATGATGTATTAATATTATGTTTGTTATTAGATTTATGACCAATTTTTCTTGTACAACATTTAGCAATGAATACGGTTGTTCAGAGCCTATAGTTTATAACAGTTTATTTTGGTTTTTAAATAAAATACAAGTATTTAAGAACTTAAAAGCAATTCAAATTTTATCACCAATAAAATAATTTGACACAAAAGTACAAAAGGTTCTATTTAACTATATTAAATTGGTAGTCTACAATGTTCAAAATAAATTACGTAATATTTATACACATGTATAATTTTAATGCTTGAATAATTCATAAAAGTAAATGACAAAGCAATGCTTTTAAAAAATCTGAATTTTTATAAACTAGAAGTATGGTTTAGCGTACAGCACCAAACAGAAAAAGTAAATGAATAACAAAACTACTAATTTATTTAAACTCAAAATGTGCTATCTAAGACAATAAAACAATAATAATTTTTGTTTCAAATTACTGTAAAAGGATATACAGATTTTTGTCTGCTGTGCTTTTTAGGATTTGACAGGGGAAAATATTTGTATATTGGCTAGTACAGCATATTTTTTTCTCTAGCCCAGGATCCAGGGGGGGCAAATGCCCCCCCCCTGCCCTCCCCCAAATGACGCCCCTGTCCGTGGGACATCCGAGGTCATCCCAGGGTAGTCCTCAGGTTCTCAGGACATATGGGACTACTATGGGATGTCCCTGGGATGAAGTGTGGTCTGGGCCTGAACATTAAAAAAAACACAAAATAATATAGATTTAGTATGAAAAGCTTAATTATCAGTTGAGTAAATTGATTAAATAGTTAATAAAAACAAATTTTGAAGAAAAAAATGAGAAAATAGTTTTTGGCCCAGACGGGTCTCGAACCTGGTACCTTCCCCTTACCCTACCTCCTGAGCTATCCGCGCTTCATGATTATGAGTATTTTCAAGTGGTGAAAGAGTAGCCGACAATTGCAATGGTCGCAATACTTAAAATATTTTTGATACTACATTATATAATATGATTCTGTTAATCTGTTTAGGCCTCAAGTAGTTGAATTGTTTTTCTGTTAGTTGGAGAGGATACTGGTATTTGAATATAGATTATTTATTTACCATTAGATTAACACTGTTATGATTGTTTGTTATATGATTAAAATTAGTTTTCGATTATTTTATTAATTTAAAGTTTCTTTAAATACACATTTCACACAACTATGATAGAACTCTAGTTTTCCTGAACTCAGTGGTAGTAATATGTCAGTAAAGTAAAGTCAGCCCTTGCTAGCCACTGTATTAACAAGACATATTTTCAATCTGGGAAACCTTAAACTTTTAAAACTAATTATAAAACCTCATCATCTTAATGCGTGAAAATCTTATTTTATAGAAAAAACAGACCAAAATTATTTGTTAAATAATGAAGACGGCCCAATTATACTCGGAATTACGGAAAATAATTACATCAAGAACAACACTGTAATATATCCAAAATTCAAAAGATTAATTTTTCTAATATCATTTTTTATTTTTCCAATATCCTTTAAATAATCTGTTTTAACTTTGTCTAAAATTAATTTATTAAGTAAATATTTACTTTATGTACTAGTATAAACACAGCCTGAAGATGGAAACCTAGTTTCTGAAAGCGCTAGTGAATAAAACAAATTATTATATATTGTATTGGCCTTGTTGAACATTTAAATTTAGATAAACATTTAATCAGTGGTAGTAGTTTTTTTCTTCAGTTTGTTATCGGGACATTACAGGATATCCAGTGGATTTTGTACATGTCTTGGGATGTCATGGGACATTCTGGAATGTCCTATGGCATTCGTACATATCCCGGGACTTTACAGGATATCCTGAGGTTAACTTACAAATCCCGGGACATTACGGTATATTGTAGGATATCCTGTGGATTTCGTACTCATCCCGGGATATCCTGAGGCTAGCGTACATATCCCGAGACATTCTCAGGACATATGGGACTACTATGGGATGTCCCTGGGATAAAGTGTGCTGTCTGGGCTTGTTTTCTGGAAATGGCACAACATTAGACAAAGCAAAATTTTGGAGATGGTAAAATGAATCTGAGATGAGATAACCAACTACTTAAGATATCCAACTACTGTACCTCAAACTGTCAACTATGCTACCGTACACAAACACTGGTCATGCGAGTTTCAACATTAGTCCAGTCCTTGATGAACTAACCATATTTGAAACAAATAGTTTATTTGAGTTAATATACAAGCATGTTTTAATGGTATAAGTTCTGTTTGCATAATTGTTAATGAGTTTTTTGTATACCTGATTATAATTTATTCTTCCGGTTGGTTATTGTCAAAACTTTCCCATGGTCTTGCACCTACCAGTGAATGCAGGGAGCGCTCTGAATTTACATCAGCCATTTCATATTTCTCTTAGTACAATTAATTGCTGATCTTCAAACATACTGTATAGGCTTTCGCAGATGGTGTCATGAGACTTCATGGTGGTATTTGGCGTATACTGCGTCCTCATTCGTAGATTGTTTCCAGACTGTCACCTAGCCACTTCGCAGTAAGGATGAAACGTCTGTCAGCTATTGACGAATGAGGTCTCAGTTGATGCCAAAACCTCCATTTTGGTCACAACTATTTGCTGCTTAGGAATTAGGGTGGATTCCTTTCAGTCTCAGTTTTAATATGCAATTTATATCTTATATATATATTTGTGTGTGTGTGTGTTTTGAGAAAATTATTCCTTTTAAAATAATAAGAGTATAAAAATACTTAAATCTATATTATTTGTAATGTTTCAGTGGCATTACCAATGCTGATGCTGGGCATGGCTACCGCTTGGCCATCTCCTACATTACCCAAGATCAAAGAAAACAATGCACCACTCTCCTTGGACCATTCCGAGATATCTTGGGTGGTATCTCTCATGTTCTTTGGTAACACACTAAGCCCTTTACCTGTTGGTCAACTCATGGACAAGATTGGAAGGAAATGGACCTTGTACGTGTTAAACGTAATGCCTCTAACTGCATGGATTATCACGTATTACAGTCGCTCTGCATGGTACTTGTATGTTGCTCGTTTCCTCAACGGATTGGCAGCGGGAGCAGCCTACACAGTATGTGCCGTCTATATTGGAGAGATAGCAGAACCGTCTATAAGAGGGTCAATGTCCAACTTTAACAACCTTTTCAAAACTCTGGGTGGTCTATTAGTATTTATTGTAGGTCCCTATGTGTCATATGAAACTCTTGCTCTCACCTGTGGTCTGGTGCCAGCCTTGTACTTCCTTGTGGCGGCATTCATCCCGGAGTCTCCATATTATCTTGTTATGATGAACAGAAAACAAGAAGCAAAAGAGGCTCTGAGGTGGTTGCAAAGGAAAGACGATCAAGCTCTTGATCAGGAATTAGCAATGGTAGAAAAAACGGTAATTTCCCAGACACAAAATAAAGGTTCAGTCAAAGATCTGTTCAAAGATAGAGCAAATCGTAAGGCAGTTGGCATTACTATGATCTTATCCGTGGTAAAAAATCTGAGTGGATATGATGTGATGATGGCTTACACCTCCACAACACTTCCTCCTGAGGCATTTAATTCCTTTGGTCCTAATGAATGTGTCATCATCCTGGGAGTGATATCAGTAGTTACATGTATTGGCTCTATATTCATCTTAGATAAATATCCTAGAAGATTTTTACTGACTTTGTCATCTCTAGGTTGCTCAATTATGACACTTCTTCCAGGCCTCTGGTTTTTTCTGAATGATAACACATCAGTCGATGTTTCAGCGTTCGCTCAGATACCATTCTACTGTTTTGCAATACATGCTGTGGTGTACTCAGTGGGCCTTGGACCTATTGTTGCCAATGTAAAGGGAGAACTCTTTTCAGCCAATGTAAAGGCAGTTTGTTCAGCTATGACTAGTATTGTGTTTGCCATTTTAAGTTTTCTTTCGACAAAAATATATCTTATAATTTCTGACTCTATGGGTGTCTATGTAAATTACTTACTATATGCAATAGGGTGTGCTCTTGGAACACTGTTAATCCGTAAATATGTGATAGAAACTCGAGGTAAATCTCTACATGAAATTCAGATCAGACTCAGTGAACGAAACAAGACTACTAGTGTATCTGTTATCTCTAATAGATAACATAAAAATCCGCTCTTGTGATATACTGAACTAAACAGATTGATTAATGAACATTTCTCAACAATCCACGCTAGGAGGGAGGCGAGTTGGCAATGGCAAATAGGGTTGGAATGTTGGAAACTGGGAACGAGTAACACTTTTTCCAGCAGCACCTGACATTTAATTTTGAGGGAATTATTAGTCTAGTCTGTCAATTATTATTTTTCTCACAAAAGCCTTTGATTATTACAAAACAATATTTAATGTCTAGTGAATATAAGAAGTAGGAAACTCACCTGGCCCTATATACATATATGTATTCTATAACATAAATGATTAGAACACTGAGCAACACTAAATTTACTCAAACTATCTCTTGTGATTGTAAGGATCTAGTTACCTACTTAAAATATACGGTTCTTTAATACATAATATCCAAGGTGGTCTAAAAATCTGTACCTTATTTTAATGTTTACCATTAAGACTAAAATAGTTTATATTTATAATATTATATATTATTATATAATAGCACATTTTATTTCGATTGGACACTCCAATCATCATCAGAACAAATAGGAGAATGAACATTGGGTAGTTTTGTCATAGTTTCGTCATTCGCCTATTGGGTCTGATGATGATTGGAGTGTCCAATCGAAATCGATTACCACTTATTTGTTTATTTACCGTCTTGTGAGTAACAATATATGCGTAAATATACGTTTTAAGTGTTATAAGACGTTTATTTTATTTACTTTCTGCATATTTATCACAATATTATCACGTTCAGTCGATTGACACTTGTTTGAGAGCAATGTCGACTTTCTCAAACTCCGTGTCTCTAATGTTACTATGGCTAGGCCTAGGGTAGAAGAAAATGCAAAGGTTGGTTTTAGGTACCGGTATGAAATACGATGATATCTAGGGGTTTATGTTTTTTGGAAAGCACAAAATTATGAAAACTCATCTGTCAAAGGAATGAGAATTTGTTAACTGTCATAGAAAACTTGTCTGCTATAAATTCTAATGTAAGTAAAAAAATAAACCAACGGATATCATTGGTTTTGAGTAAACAAAACCAGATGGTATTCTGCACCTCATTAAGAGTATGTAATTAAGACTATTTTTAGGACCATTGGGCATTGGTGTAGTCGTAAATTGTCCATTGTGGGAACGATCACCATTTTCACAGAATACAGGTCGCTTACCAATAGGTTTTTCGGGGAAATCAGCCCATTACAGACTTAGGTTTACTGCACAGTCTTATTTTACAACCAAACGACTTTTCGACTCACATCATTCTTGAAAAAATGATGAACTATCACAGGTGTAAAATTAAAATGTATGTTACGCATTTTGTGTGATTTTTTTGGTTTTTTTAGTTAATATTACTTGAGAGAGAATATCCTTTATAAATAGACTGGAAATTAGACTATACATTTTACCGTACATCATTCATGTTGAGTAAACGAAATTCAATTTTTTTAAACCCAGTGATTTTTGTATTTCAGTAAATTGTTTTTATATAAGCCACAATAGTTATAATATCTATGTATTGTCATTTTGATTTTGTTTCTTAGTGCCAATTCCGAGATCTTGGATGCTTGAAGTACCCCCCCCCCCCCCCACTGACATTGCATCCGCGACGTGGTCGTCAGGTTATTTTACTATCTTGCTTTTCAATTTTTAATACTCAAATTATATTTCGATTTGGCAGATTGCGTGCATATATATAGGTTACTTATATTGTCTGTGCTTATACTGTCTTCTCAATCCTATTTGTTATAGCTCTGCGGCCGCCGTTTCGCAGATTACCTTATTGTCGGGTGCGTCCCTTGAAGTTCCAGATCTGGCCAGATTAAAAAAAAACCAGATCCGGCCAGATCTGATTTTGGAACATAAAAACCAGATCTGGGTTAAGTTACCTACTTATAAAGAAAATTATTTTAATAAAACAAAAACGAATATAAGATGTTTTAACATGGAAACCTAATGAACAATGCATTAAAAATTTAATAAAATTAAAAAGTGAAAAAATCGTAACAAAATTTAACACTCCCGACCGAGACTCAAACCAGGGACTCAAGCGTTGAAGTCAGATCACGCTTTTTAGCCATTACACCACGGCCACTTCTAATTAGGCACCGTAACGGAAGCCGTTATTTTTGTAAGACATCATTTCCCAAAAGTTGTCTTGCTCGGTCGAACTTTTACCAAACGAAATTCGACTGACTGCAACATTTCCAACAGATTTAATCATGTATTGATCTCATAGGCCTATCTAATGAAGTGAAAATTGGAATATTTTAAAGGAAATGTCAAGAGGGGTTCACCAGTTAATTAACAATTAAAATGTTAATGGAGAATACTGTAAAATGTTGTATGTTGTAGTTTGTTTGTTTGGATATATTTTGATCAAACCTGGTAATTTATTTTATACTTAGCTGTTAATATTTTACTAATAAACACTCTTTATTAGCCTTCAGGTAGCAGCAAACCTAGGTACTCATTAAACTTAATTTTATTCAAATAGATTGAATGGAAAATCTGGCAAATGGAAATTCGCATAGCCTGCAGGTTTATTGCGGCAGGGGTACTTTCTTAATTTTGTAGTTTGTTTTACTAAAATAGGTACAATAGTAGCCCTTTATCTAAACAATTGTATAATATTTAACCAATAAATTGTGAACATTTTCAAACATTTCTCGTTCAAAAAGGGCTGCCAATGTTTGTTGTCATAGGAATTAAATTGCACTATATTTAGTATTTTTTCCCATTGCACCGTCTTTAGTTACAATATTTAAATGTTTTCCATAGCATTGTTTGTAGCTTTAACTTTCATTCTCATTCGCTCATAGAATTCAATAAACTTTTAAAATACATTAATTTAACAAATAAAAGTCAGAAGTGTTACAGATTCTGGTGTGTGCGACTAATATTATTTAAAAGGTATGACTCAGATCAGGTATATCTGGTTGCCATATATGGACTCATTTCAGATCTGGCATCACAGATCTGGTCATATCTGAACTAATACCATATCAGGTCAGATATGGGTGTCAGATCCGGCCAGATCTGGGATGTGTCCAGATATGTAATCCCAGATCTGGCACCCACATCTGGTCAGATTAACTCATATAAAACCGGTTCCATATCTGGCTGGATCTGGAACCAGTCCACTTTTCCATAAGGGGTAGTCGTACACTAAATTAAATGACAGTACATTTTTACGTGATTTTTTCATTTGCAATGCGTCAACGGTTAATAAATCAAACATATACATTACAAGACACGACACGAAAACATTTAAGCAAGAATAAATAAGAATTTCCCTGGGATATGCCTGTTATAGTAATTAATTTAAATTTTTTGAGAGTTTTTGATCGATAGACGGGAATATCTTCGGCAGATACCTAGAATATCCAAAATATCTTTTTTTCTTAATTTGTAAAATTCACTAAGAATTCAAGTATTTCTTGAGATATGCAACATAATACTGATTCCAAGGTAATGTATATATATATATATATATATATAGAAACGTAATTATATATATATATATATATATATATTAACTATAATGTTTACGTAATTACTTAGTATGGTTGGTTAATATATTCATGCAGAGAAGATCCGTGGAAGATCCCAGGGATATCCCCAGGACCAACCTAGGATATTGCACATATCCCACAACAAATACATTTTGGGGATATCCTGGAGACTTCCTATGGATATTCTCGGTAGGCTACCTATATTAAAACATATTTTATAGTATTGGATGTATTTTTTTTAAGGTGACAAGTGCTTTATAAACGTAATTAAAAAGGATTTCAATATTATTTCGAATTGAAAATAACATTACCAATGATTTATAAAAAATAATCACGTTTTTCGATCATATCCATAGGACATCCTTTGGAGATCTGTAGGAATTCCCCGTGGGGCAGAATAATTATCCAACTCAAAATTTTCACCTTATTATATTAATAATACACCTGCTTATATTATTATTAATAATAATAATAATGCAAATATTTCCTTTTTAATTAATTTTAAATTCTAACTTATTTGAGAAAATTTATTAGTTGAACAATTTAGGGGGGAATATTAATTAATCATATAACAATTATAATTTATATTCAAATAACAGTATCCTCTCCATCTCCCAGAAAAAAAAAACAATTTAATAACTTGATGCCTAAACAGAATCATAGTATCACAAAAAATATTTAAGTATTGCGACCATTTTTGTAGCTGTCGGCTCCTCTTAAACAGCTTGAAAACTAGTAATATCACAATCACAGATAGCTCAGAGGTAAGGTAAGAGGTTCATAAGTCGAAGGTATCCGGTTCGAGACCCGTCTGGGGTGAAAAAAACTTCTTGTTTTTTTTCAAAATTTGTGTTATGAACTATTTGATCATAATACTCAACTGATAAAAGTGCTTTTCAAACTAAATCTTTATTATTTTGTGTATTTATGTATGATATCCTGATGGGATATCCCAGGGATCAGGATTTGGGTGGACATAGGGATATCCCAGGGAGTTCCCCAGGAAACTCTGAGGACTTTTGTGCGGGATATACAGAGGATATCCCCCATCCCACTGGGATATCCCCAGGTCATTCCAAGGATCTTCTTGTGTTGTGTGGGTCCATATCAGACTGGACTCGTATCATCGCTGGAGAGTTCAAGTCCGTTTCATTAGGATTGTAGAATGGGATATCGCTATCTTGATGCTCTAGCGAATCTTGTCAGATCCCAGTTCAATCTATGCCAGGGGTGCCCAGAAGAGGGGGGGGGGGCATGGTGCAACTTGCGCCATCATAATTTTTGGGGGGGGGCATAATTTTTTTTGGTTGGATTTTGATTTTTGTGAAGGATTTTATTCCCTGCAAAAAATTACAAAAAAATATACTACTAGAATCATACGCAACAATACTGTTTATTTATTTAAAATCCTTTAATCTGGATTACCAATGTCAAGTTTGCCGTTTAGACCAACACCAATTTTCACGTCAATACGTAAATGTATTGCTCTGGTTAAGAAGACGGTTGGTAGGCCTAGTGGCTCAACTGGCAACCCTGTCTCGCTGTCTGTCACAGCCATATGTAAATTATGAGTTTGGCAAAATTCGTATGAATCGTGTTTTTTACATTTGTACCTTATAATTTTGCATGAATCACGATAAATAATTGATTTATTTAGTCATTGCTTTTGACAATTATTACATTGCGTAGAATACTTATTCTAATATTTAGTAGGCTACAGTAGGGAGCTGGTTACATAGTTGTTATCAAATGACACTGTAAGTTATATAAAACTACTTAAATAGAGCTTATAAAACTCATTCATCATATTTCTTAAATAAGGCTATTATTGATTTTATTAGCTTTTTTGTCATACTCTTGTAATTTAATCCTTAAGGAAACAATTTACAAAATCAGCAATATAACTCGTTCCAAAGTTTAATGAAGTAAGATTCTGACATTATACTATATTTACCACTAAGATTTTATAATTTCACAATTTATTTAGGCCTAATGCAAAACATCTGGTTTCAGTATACAAGATAACCCCCATCATTATTGAAAGAATATTGAATCAATGCATCACTAAACTTTGTAAATTAGAATACATTACATATATTTTGTCATTGCTGGTTTGCAAAGGATACTACAACAATGTTACCGTATATTCGGACTGTATGATACACTGCAAAATGTACCTCATTAGTTTTATTATATGTATCAAACAAATTAGTGACTATTTTATTCATACTATTGAAGGTTTGACTGTAGTATAGGCCGGTGCAAGGTATTTTTTGCTGGACTGGACATGCAAGAGTAATTTTGGCACCCCCTGATATATAAACCCACTCCTATTTACATGAATCCTATCATTGACTATATAGTCAATGATCCTATCTATATAATGAGGTAGGCCTATAAGTATTTTTCGAAGAGTATATATTTAATGCAATATATGCAAATTTTGTTCCCAATATCGTTTTTGAAGACCCACTCCCACTTATTTTACTTTAAAACTCATGTCTACGTAGATGTGCGATGTGCAAACTGATTTTGATTTTATTATTTAAGCCATTTAACTCGATAACACCGCATAAAACAAATTTGCAAATTACGAGTAGTTTTGTCATACTGCAGCATAAAGTCATTTTTAATCAATACATTTGCGAGTCTAATGTGGCTCTTTTACTCCCTCTGGAGTAAAAAGCCTTTTTAGCCCCAATGGAGTTAATCAGACGGGCAGATAAAAAGTGAAAAGAGTCACCTTATGCCCTAGAGATGAAATTTTCATTTTTTCATTTCAAGTAAAACATGCCTAGCCGCTTTTCCTATGAACCACATCCAGCTGTTTTCTTAATTATCGATAGAGATAGGGACGCATCAGGGCGTATTTTAACTTGATTGTAACAAAAATCACAGAATTTTGATTAATCTACCCAAAATTGAGCAAAAGAATGAGTGTGAAATTTGTTTTGATTTAAAATACGAGAATCAGTTTACCTATTGTGTTTTCTTTATAAACTCAATAGTAATAGATGTTGCCATTAAGAGACGAGATGAGAAAAAATAATTGCAAAATGTTAATGCAAAAATGTGTAGGGGTGTTCAACTCAACGGGGAAAGGTTTGTGAATTCTACATACATTCTTTATCAGTAAAATTGTAACTTTTTAATTACAATATAATTCACCACAAATCAAAATTTGTTCTCTCTTCAGGTAGTTGTCTCACGAAAACCGTGTAGTTATGCATAAGATAACGACCACGTGTCTATAATAGGTTACACGAGAAATAATCATAACGTTGCCGTGATCAATGGAGATAACCACGACCATAATCGCAGGATATTTAAGGATTCATAGTCAATGATATGACAAAGACTGTTACCGTGAAGTCCGTTCTCAGAGTTTTTGCTGGTTGCTATCCAGAGAATAGAAGTTTGCAAAATTGCCGTGAACTTGGGGAAATTACCCATGTAGCACAGATGGTTGGGCCAACGTTGGCCAACTGTGGGACAGTTGGTCGATGGTTGGTTGGAGCTTCCACAACCAACCAACCGTTGTCCAACTGTATATCTCGTAGTTGGGCCAACCAATATTTACAACTGTGGACCAACATCGGTTCATTGTTAATGAAATACATTAATATGCATTGTTGGGTATCATACATCAAGCCAACCGTTGTCCAACCGTTTTTCACTCCGTTGGACCAACAAAAGATACTTTTGTTGGACCAACGATGGTCCATAGTTGAGTTTACACGACTTTCATTCTCTGGGTCTAGCTTTCACAACATAATTATAATAAAATATCTGGTTTTACAATACCTGCTTTATCAGTTCCAAAAGTTTCCAAAAGTTTTTGGAACTGATAAAGGTATTGTAAAACCAGATATTTTATATATTACAGTTCCGGGGCTACAACAATGAATTTTAATAATTATAATAATGCAAATATTTTTAAAATTAATATTCTTTAACTTATTTGCAACAATTTAAGGGGAAAGAGTAATTATAATCATATAACAGTCAATTATAATAGCATTAATAATCTAACGGTAATTAATTAATCTATATTCAAATACCAGTATCCTCTCTAACTCCAAAAAAAAATAACTACTTATGATGCCTTAACAGATTAACAGAATCATATTATACTGTGTAGTATCAAAAATGTTTGAAGTATTGCGACCATTGCAACTGTCGGCTACTCTTTCACCACTTGAAAACTCTCTGTATCAACAATCACAGATAGCTCAGTGGTAAGGTAAGAGGCTCATAAGTCGAAGGACCCGGGTTCGAGACCCGTCTGGGCCAAAAAATTTTGTTCCAGCTTTTTTTCAAAATTTGTTTTTATGAACTATTTAATCAATTTACTCAACTAATAATTATGCTTTTCGTACTAAATCTTTATCATTTTGTGTGAAATAATTTTGGTTGGGCCATTGTTGGACAAAGGTTGGCTGGAAAACAGTTTAAAGAGGTGACATTTCTACCGTTGGCCAACTGTGTGGCTCCACAATTTACCAACGTTGGCCCAACCATCTGTGCTACATGGGAAATTTTGTTCCCAATATCGTTTTTGAAGACCCACTCCCACTTATTTTACTTTAAAACTCATGTCTACGTAGATGTGCGATGTGCAAACTGATTTTGATTTTATTATTTAAGCCATTTAACTCGATAACACCGCATAAAACAAATTTGCAAATTACGAGTAGTTTTGTCATACTGCAGCATAAAGTCATTTTTAATCAATACATTTGCGAGTCTAATGTGGCTCTTTTACTCCCTCTGGAGTAAAAAGCCTTTTTAGCCCCAATGGAGTTAATCAGACGGGCAGATAAAAAGTGAAAAGAGTCACCTTATGCCCTAGAGATGAAATTTTCATTTTTTCATTTCAAGTAAAACATGCCTAGCCGCTTTTCCTATGAACCACATCCAGCTGTTTTCTTAATTATCGATAGAGATAGGGACGCATCAGGGCGTATTTTAACTTGATTGTAACAAAAATCACAGAATTTTGATTAATCTACCCAAAATTGAGCAAAAGAATGAGTGTGAAATTTGTTTTGATTTAAAATACGAGAATCAGTTTACCTATTGTGTTTTCTTTATAAACTCAATAGTAATAGATGTTGCCATTAAGAGACGAGATGAGAAAAAATAATTGCAAAATGTTAATGCAAAAATGTGTAGGGGTGTTCAACTCAACGGGGAAAGGTTTGTGAATTCTACATACATTCTTTATCAGTAAAATTGTAACTTTTTAATTACAATATAATTCACCACAAATCAAAATTTGTTCTCTCTTCAGGTAGTTGTCTCACGAAAACCGTGTAGTTATGCATAAGATAACGACCACGTGTCTATAATAGGTTACACGAGAAATAATCATAACGTTGCCGTGATCAATGGAGATAACCACGACCATAATCGCAGGATATGACAAAGACTGTTACCGTGAAGTCCGTTCTCAGAGTTTTTGCTGGTTGCTATCCAGAGAATAGAAGTTTGCAAAATTGCCGTGAACTTGGGGAAATTACACAGTGGCGGCGATTTGTTCTTGAGAGGTGGGGGGGGGGGGGGGGGGTGAAATCTAGATTTATTGTTGACATAATTCTATTTTATAATTTTGATAAATATTCCTTGTGAAAGTGGTGGGGCAACTGCCCCCCCTGGCCCCCCCTAAACGCCGCCTCTGAAATTACAAACTGTAATTCAATAGCGATAAAATTTCTGCTTCTGTTTCAAAAATCGCAAATGTTTGTGGTATAGTCCTTATTTGTTTGGAGTCAATTGTGAAGCCTAAAAAAAACACGCTAGGTGTTCGTTTTTACTGACATATACATACTGACTAATGTTATAAATTAAAGAGTGTAGTGTGGATGTCATTCTTTGGGGGGGCATTATGCTTGGTTTGGGGGGCATGCCCTTGGGGGGGGCTGGGCACCCCTGATCTATGCAGCTTGGAAGATGGGAGGAAAATTTCGGACGCTTTGTTATCTCATGAGGATTGCAAAATGGAACCGTCGACTGCCCTGAGCTGTTCGGAGGAATACCATTCCACGTTCCTATCCGTAAGATCCAAGGATACGTTTGAGTGGTGGCACTACAATACGAGGTTGGTGCAGTATTGGATTTTCCCCATTCCAGCAGGGCTGCTTTCCGTTCCAAATTAATTTGTGTCGCCTCTTCTCTGTAAATACTTTATAGTTAATGCCTACATTATGTTAACGGAACTTTGTTCTAACCTTCGCTCAGCTGATTATTTTTGTCTATTTAGATCTTTTATGTTAATATGTTAAGTCTTGCTTAGGGAATTCCAAACCGTGTATTTAAGTGTTGTTTGGTTATTGTTTCACACAATTTATCATGGTTTCTAACTTCATTGTTGGTTTGTTTTTCTTGTTATTGTTATTTATTCAGTCATAGCCTTTATTTGTTGTTAATAGTTTTAGTTTGATATAGCTTACTTACTGTACCTTTTTGTAAAATGATGATACCGTGGAAATAAATAAATTGAATTGAATCATACATAAATTAAATTAGCTAAGTGTGCAAGTTTGATGCTGGGCAGTGGGCGGGCCATAGATTTACTCATAATACGAATAACAATAACAGGATTTATACTCAATGCTAGAATTGATTTCTCTTTTGTCAATTATTACTTTCTTTCCCTTTTCTCTCCCTCCTTCTCTACTCTCGAACTCAAACCATATTGAACAGTCGAACACAAAAAAAATCCCTTGCACTGATGATGGCTCATGGCATGGCTCATCTGGATCTCATGGCTTCCTCCTTTCCTCCATCTCACCGCACCGCAACATCATCTCTTTAACCTCGACGTCCTCGACTCGACTGCCAGCGCCAGCCCACGCCCACTGTTAGTAGTTTTAGTTACTGTTCCATCTCTTAGCTTCCAGCCTTTCCGTTCCATGTAAACTTAATTAATGATTTAGGAGTTGGATTTTGTTTCATAATAAATATGTGTGGTAAGTGAAGAAGACGAAACCCTTAAAGGTAATATTTCAAAGCTTAACCTCGTTACAGGTTCTCCATCTTTTACCCTAGGCCTAGGCCTTTGGAGGATTGGGTGTGATGACGTCATTAAAAATATAAAAATTGTTGACTAGGCCTACACATATTTTGCAAACTTTAAATAAACACATGACTTAAGTTAATTAGAGCACTGAAGCTGTGGACGTGCGTAGGATTTCAGCCTAGGCTAGTCCTAATAAAGGGACTTAAATTTGGGAACATAAAAACTCCTTTAGCGAGTGTAGGCACTGTCTTTTAAATAACTTAGGCTGTAAGCAGATCTTTAGGAGTTCTATTTCGTCGACGTCGAAGCGTTGGATGAAGTTTGGGTAAACTTCCATAAGAAAGCCTAGCCTAACTTATCTGTTGGCACAAACAACCAAATGAGTAACTTAATATTGATTATTCGATTGTTTAGTTTGATATATTGTTTGGTTCTAGGCTAGTTAGGTTAGGTTAACCGTTCAAGAGATTTAAGAGAGAGATTCAAGAGATTTTTATTTAATATTTTTTAAACGTTAATATTTGTGAGAGCGGGAACATTATTGCACCGTTATTTTTAACAAAAATCCTAGTTTCTGGTGATATAAAGGCCTAGCCTAAATCTGTATAGGTTCCTATGGCCAGATTTTTAGTGAGAACCTTCTCCCTGTTAGTTCAGTTTTTGAGTTTTTAAATGGCAGACCTTAATATATTATGTTCGTGTTGAAAATAAGTAGCCTACAGTTTAATGTTGCGCATGTGGTTCTTGCAGGATAAAAGTGCTTGCACTAGAAGTAAAAATTGGTTACATCCCTCTTGATAGCCCCTTTATCGATATCAGCTTTGTAAGGATTAAAGAACTATAGCAGCTAAACCAAGTTGAAGCCTTGGTCTGGTTAAGTTGTTAGCCTATAAACTTATTGTACATTTATAAAGATAACTAACAGAGTGTTGATTTCTTACCATCTGCTTCTTATTAGCCTATGCATACACTAGTCCTGGCGTAGTAAAAATATTGTAACTAAGTTGAAGGCTATACAGCGGTTTCAGTAATGGCGATTGTTTTGAAATTTTCTCTGTTTTGCCTCCAGGATAGGCCTAGTAATGTTAACCTTTTTAACCTATTTAACCTTATTATTCAACTGAATGGATATATTCAATAAAAAAATAGTAGGACTGATTATGGTATAAGTATTATAGAATTGAATGTTAATAATTGAACTAATTTTTTAGAAGTTTTGAACTCTTCCCAACAGGCGACTTTTATTGCCTAGGTCGGGCAAAAATGAATCAAATAAGAAAAGATAATTTTCATTTGTGTTTTTTATTCCTGTATGTATAGCCTTCATCAAATAAACACAATGAAACAGCTTATACTATCTCTAAATAATTTTTAACTTGTTATAGCTTATACACACAAAAATGGTGCGGATATATTTGCCACCCGTCATTGAAAACCAGGACTATTTATGTTACAAGCGATTGTGTAAACTACTTCATTGTGTAACTATTTCATGTTGCTAGACAGACAACAACTGTAGCTTTTAGTGCCATTAAAGTTAACGTAGTGTTGCACGCGCAGCATAGTGGGGATGGGGATTGAGTGGGAGAGGATGGCTTGTCACTTTGAAGGTCGCAACAGTTGCAGGGGAGTAAGTTAGCGCTGTGGTAGCCCGACTGCAAAAATACCAGCCAGGCTGACCCAAGATAAGGTTGTTACATCCATTTCCCGTTCGGAACATAACAACCCATATGAGGATACATCCACCACCCGTCCTTATATGTCAAAGACTTGTGCGGATATATTCGACTACCTCTCCTAAAAGGTTAGGCTAAGGGGAGGCGGAATCCCTATCCCTGTAATGCTAACGTAAGGTACCTTTTTGGAAAAACTATATGGCCTATCTCTCTGAAATTTTTGTCAGTTCTTTGTAGGCCTACCTTTGACACATGTCCTGAGTTTTTTTCAGGCTTTTAAATTAATAAATAGCTTAGATAAAAAAATGTTGGAAGTACTAAGATTTTTTCAACTTTCTTGTGATAAGTTATAGCCTATATATATTTTTTACCAAGTAGGATGGAATCAGGCCCTAAAAAAACTCAGTGTGTTTACCACTCTGGAAAAAGCTATTGCAGGAAAATATGGGGCTGAAATGTTTAAGGTAGGCAAAAATAACGCATATCGCATATTTTCTATAGGCCTACCTCTAGGCCTAAGTTATACGCCGTTTTCCACAAATTGTTATTTTTGTCATGTTATGTAATTTATTTTATGTTATGTTATTTTTGTTGTGTTATGTTTGTCATGTTGTTGTTATGTAGTTTGGTTGGAATATTTAAACAGGAACTACTAGGGATAGGGAGTTAAATTTTTACACAAAATGTATGTTATCTGTTTTCTTTCTTTCAAAGCTATTGCTGTCCCCATCACCAAGGTAACTTACATATTTAATAAAAAAAATATACAAATATATCAAAACTAAAACCTTATTTCAAAAGAATTCAGGCCTCGCCTATGCATTTGTTCCAGATTTTTTTATAGGGGTAAATATTTTTAGCACCAAAGTGTTATACAGTCCAACCTCGGTATAACGAATCTGAAGGGACCGAACTGAATATTCGTTGTATCAAGGATTTCGTTAAAACGAGGTTCGTTATATTGAGGTTGGGTTTGCAGGAATTTCGCTAAGTCGAGGTTCAGAACCAGCATCAGTCAATATAGGTCGGAATTTGACCTCATTAAAACACAAATAAAGTAGCCTAGGCTACAATACTTTAAAGTACAGTGTTTACATTGTAAAGTAGAACCTCGATTATCTGGGGTACTAAAGGGATCTTTAACATTGCGCAATCATGACATTTCTAGTCATTGACCTTGGTGCAGGTGTAAACTGTAAGTTTAAAATCACAGCTTACTCTAACCAACCTTAAACACTGCATTGTATAGCAATAAAACACTCAAAGAACAAAAGAAATCAGTAGATAGTTTTGTAAGCTGCTTGTGATAGGCCGGTAGGCTACAGTACTGCTTTAAATCACAACCGAGGAATGTCAATACCGTAATAATCATCAACTATACATTGGTGTTGCCTTAGTTTAAGCAAATCGTATTGAAAATAAAAAAAAATTATAGATAAGTCGTTATAAAAGTGTATAATCATAGCCAACTTAAAGATAATAAAAACACTCGTAAAAGGAATGTTAATACACTGATGTTGCTATTCTTTATCTTTGCTTTGTTCTTCTATTATTTTTCTCTCTTAGGTTTCTCTCAACGTTTCTCTTCATCCAAAAATTGTACAAGTCACCATAGTTACTTACCCAATCACATTTCACTAAACATTACGTCATCTCAGTCCTCAGTGAATGAAATCAGTTTTCAGTTGTAACATAGCACGCATGCAGCGACGACAGCAGACAGGGATGTGTAAACGGAGCAGACGAATGTTAGCGCAAGCGTTGACGTCACCTTTCCATTTCATTTGATGAAGAAACTGATTTTTCTAAAAACAATAATTGGGGGTGGGGGGTTCGTTGTATCGAGGGAGAGGCACAGACAATTTGTTAAGTAGAGGTTAAATTCGCTATGTAGAGGTTCTGACAATGATAAATTCGCTATATATTGAGGTGTCTTATTTTAGCCGGGATCATGAAAAATTTGTTAAATCAAGGTCGTTGATATGGGTTGTTCGTTATGTAGAGGTAAAACATACATTGTGTCTTATGGAGAGTTCTAGGGGATTCAAAAAAATTTGTTATATCAAGGAATTCGTTAAATCGAGGTTCGTTATATCAAGGTTAGACTGTATATCATTCTGTCCTGGAAGAAAAGTTCTATAATTTGGTGAAATAATTAAAAAAAGGCAAACAAATATTTACCTTAGCCTACTGCCTCCCCTTAATTTGGTTGAAAATAAAATTCTTTTTTTTTAAATAAACATCTTGTTTGTCAATATCGTAGTAATAGCAATGTCTAAACACATGGTCCATTTTTAAACGTCCTGTCCACTGAGTATATGACCAGTTCATATCACTTAACTTTCATGAATTTGTTTGCAGATTGTGATGTGCTATGGTGTTGCTGTTGAATCAAGAACCCGATTACTTCAAGACTTCTACACCAAAAAATATTTATTCAACGACTATAAAACCTTCTAAACTTAACCCCTTCCTACTCCCTACTCCTAAAACCACAACCTGAGAATTCATAATTTTGCATTAAACTGCTTATAGACTACTGCTAATAACATTTTCAAGTATCTAGGGCCCACAGTTTGAACTTAGATTTGTAACTCAATAAAATTGTTAATGTGATTCATTTTTAGTTCTAGTCATGTTTTTGGCAGATGATTTTAGTTGGCCAAGATGTGTGAACTTACGTTGAGGTAGTTAAAGGCTAAGGTTGCACATTTTTTGCCTTACTTTATAACTAGAACTCATAGGCCAAATATTTAAGCTATTTTTCATTATTTTTTTTTACTTGAAATTGTTTGATAGGAAATTTTAAATGCTAAATAAATGTTCTTGACATATTTATCATAAAATCTGCCATTTCAAATATAAAATTTAAATAGCCGCCATTTAGAAATTTGGAATTGGACCAAGTTAATTTTTGTTTCTAATACAGGTCTCTTATACGTTGAGATACATGATAAGTTTCATAAAGAGAAGGGCTTTAAATATAAAAAATAAAAATGTGAATGTAAACAAAGCGATTTTTCAAAACTTATTCTCCATTTTCTCTTTATTTTGACCATTAGATTTGTTTCTCGGGGTTTAGCTGTTTGCTTGCAGGACTCACAGTAGGCCTACGGTTATTATAAGTAAACCAATTAAACATTGTCTACAGCAATACCAACGGCTTATAGTCTCCAGCAAAACTAACTCTTATGCAAAACAAACAAGCAAATACTGAGCTCCGCCAGTGACATCCAAATCCCAAAACGTGGAAACTTACTTTTACTAAATTTGATGAAAAAATCTGTAGGTAGGCCTACTTGAATCTCATTAAAACCATAAACTCACCATTACAAATAATAAACTTCAAATATAGGATTCTCTCCAAGTCAGTAATAGGTCATTTGCAAAGAGTTAGACCTGATTTAACTTAGTAACTTATTAAACAATTTTTGGCTCTATTTTGCTAAATATATATTTCAATAGCAAATTTGTTTTATCATGCCTAAGTTTCTTAAAACTCGAAGGTGTTTACTGAAACCAATATTAGGTCTTCTCTTATAGGAAGTAGTTGTCGTCAGGGCCGATTTACCGAATAGACACGGCGTGAGCGGATTATCATCGTCTACCATAAATGAGGCAAAATACTGATATTTTCCCGTGGTTGTGTGAAAATTATCCGTCTTGTGCGATTGTAGGCAAATTCTGATCACCACTCGCAACCGTAACATCATTATAATGGATCGTGTGGACATAGTAATCGCCTCCACACTAAAGAATAATCCACGAAAGAATTCCTTGACCGAAAAAAATCTGCTTATTAACACAGAAAAATCAAATTTTATATCATTTTTCACTAAACAATGTAGACAAAATTTTGAACCAAACATTTGCATACAATCAGAAAGAATAAACCAAGTAAAGCAAACAAAATTTCTTGGACTAATTATCGATAAACATCTATCTTGGGAGGGCCATGTGGTTAAAAAGGTATCTTCTGGCATCCATGCTCTGCGACAGATGTCCAGAATATGCAGTTTAAACACTCTAAGAGTTGTTTATTTCTCATTAATACATTCACATATTTCATATGGAATTGTTCTATATGGGGCAACAACAAAAAATAATTTAGATAAAGTACTAATTAAGCAGAAAAAAAATCAGGGAGATGAAAAATCTTAAAAAGAAAGAGCCAGTCAAGAGCATCTTTTGTGAATTACAAATATTAACAGTGTATAGTCTTCACATTTATGAATAATTTATGCAAAACAGATCCAACTATCATCAATCTCAACAGAACAATTAGTATATAACACAAGATTAAAAATTAACCTACCTCGGCATAATCTAGAATTTTACACCAAAAAGACATCTTACATAGGGCTAAAATGTCTCCAGTCTATATCAGCTCACATCCGAAAAGAAACAAAATTTAATAAATTCAAGCAGCTCTTAAAAGAGTATTTTTTAAGAACTCCCTACTACTCAGTAACAGAATTCTTCAGTATTAAGCGGCGTTTACACCGGAGTTTCAAACAAAAAGTTGCAAACTTTTATTGCAAACAGCAGTTGCAAACGGTAGTTTCAAATAAATGTTTGCAATTTTTATTTCATGATTTGTTTCCATGTTTCATGAAAATGTTTGAAATAATTTTGACCTTGATTATGACTTGCCTTGTTCTGGTTCCTCGGATCAGTCCTTCCGAGGATATCAAGTGTCGAAGATGTTATTTTAGCCCCGGCGGCTTGTATCGTGTTGTTAAAGCAACATAGGCCGAGACGATGCTGGGTGAACATCGGTGATTGTATAAATCATCAAATTGAATTATTATTCATTTTTAAAGATTACAAGGACTTTTAACCCTTTTAATTTGCATTAGACGTTATTGTTATTTTTAAATTAGACGACCTTGTCATTTGAGGTTAGTGTTAATTTATTGAGAGCCAAACAGCATTTTCCCGATTAATTTAACACTTAGTCGAGACACAGGGTGGTGCGAGTGATCACGTGAGTGAGAGTGGATGTGGTAGCGTAGGGGATGGTGGAGAAATGTTTCTGTTTCGTGTTTCAACGGCTCATATTGACCGAAACTAGTGTTGCAAACAAAGAGTTTGCAACTCCCTTTGATCTTTACTGACTTCAAGTGGAAACAAAAATTTCTGTTGCAAACACTGAAAAACTGTTTGCAACAGCGAAATGTTTTGTCTTTTTAGAGATGTTTGCAATTTCTGTTTGCAACTTGTGTTTCAAACCCCGGTGTAAACGCGGCTTTAGTAAAAAACAGTTAGGCCTAACTTAATTAGAATTCCAAATATTGTAATCCTTAAAGTCATGGTTTTGTTAAAAGTAGGCTAAAAGTAAAGTCATTTTAGTACTCTTTTTATGTATTTAATTAGCAGTAAGCAATTTTGAATTTTGTCCATGACTATTCAAGTTCATGTAATGTGACACTATAACGAATATAGAATGTTTTGACTTTGACTCCCGCGATTGCGGCAAAATAGCAATCATCTCCGGAGATCATCACCGTCTTCCGCAAATGAGGTAAAATTCTGATCTTTTCCCGCAGTTGAGTGGACATTATTATCGTCTTGCACAATCGCGGCAATATTCTGATCATCCCTCGTGACTCTGTTGATATCATAATTGTCTTCTGCAATGGCGGGGAATTCTGATCGGCCATGTGTAGACATACTATCGTCTCTCGGGGTCACGGAAACGTCACTGTAGTGATGCGCGATCGCGGTAAATCAAAAATTCCAGGTAGAAATACAAATTTCATGCATATTTCCCGGTTTAAACAACTCACGCATAATTCATGGATTTCCCAGTTTTCCTGGTTGGTGGACACCATGTTATATATTGCAAAGGGGCGCTATTATTAGTTGTGCCCAGGGCATTGACGGGTTCAAAAAAGCGCCTGGTTCTTGTAGGTACTCATGATGGGGGGGATTTGAATTGTAATGTATGTCTTTACGTGATCTTTAGCCCCACCACTCTTGGACCTTTCAGGAAAATGAACGGCCATAAAACCACTTAAGGCCTCTTCTATGATTTGTCCTGTAACGTCCAATTACTGCAGGCCTATGTTATGTGTGTTGTCCACCAAACATTTGTTTTGGGGATATTTCTCTTTAATCCTGCAGCCTCCCCTCATCCTTTAACATGTTCAGTTCAAACTGCATGTCTGTTAATATTTGAGAGAGTAGAAAAATGTACTATGCATAATACAGATCCTCCAGACGGTTATATTTAACCTACTGGATTAAACGTTTTCTTCCACCAACTGTTATCCTAATTACGGCATCGTCTAGTACTAATAGGAAAAGTGTGACACCATTGTTGTTTTGAATGCACCATTGTTGCACTCCTGTCCCTGTGGAGAATTGTTGAGAAAGTTGTCGTTGATGGATAACTTTGGCATAGGTATCCATTAGTCTTATTATTTGGACGTCATATTCTTCTAAGATGGAGTCGTAAAAAACTTGTAGTTACGTATAACTAATGAAATAATGATATCGTTAGTAGTTAAATAATAAACTGTGTAATCCTCACAGAACGAAGGTTTTAAGTACACAAATAATTTACTGACAGTAGATCTAATCTAAAGAATCTAACAACCCAATCTTTTTTTCGTTTTTTTTCTTGAGGCATTGCTTTTTTGTTCATTGATGATGCATCTTCCCCGTTTTCTATGATACTTGTTGACACTTTCAGTTGTTTTCATCTTAAACTGATACTGTATTGTTTCACACTCTTCACTAAACAATTTTTACACAATTTTTTAAACAATTTTTTTAGATTATCTTTCTCAAAATATAGGCTAGTTTATAAATCCATTCCATAGGCTGGGAAACTTCCGGCTCGTGAGGACCATGTTACCTTATTAGAATAAAATCTCATTAGGCATAAGATCAGTTTGCGTGTTTTGTAGCTAAGTGTTTGTACAACACATGGGCTATCCATTATTTGCTGTGAGGCGCATACATGTTATATTCTTGCTGGTACTCGAGACAGGATATATCCCATAGACCTTGCACGAATTTCAGAATAGATGGAAGGCCATACTCTATGATGGTTTTTCCAGGATACAACTTGGCCATTAGGTGGATCATATTTAATCCAAACGCATTCAGTTCACTGTCCACTTCTTGTTCATCATCACCACAGACCACCTGCTTGCCCTTGTGATCTGGTACACAGCTGGTATTCGGCTGGGTGGGCATATCTGCGGGATCAATCCAATCATCTTCATCAACATCGATCACTTCAGCGGGAGTTTTATTTTCCTCCTTCATTTTAATAAACAACTCATCTGCTGTTGTAAACGAAACCTTGTTTAACCAAACTTTGTTTGGTTTGTAATTGCTTTCATTCAACACTCTCCCTTTTTCTTAGAGATACATATTTTTCAAATAATTTATCTTTTTTACAAAAGCATCTGGTCGTAGGTTTTGCTCAAGAGCTATAATCCTCACGACCCTCGATTCTTCCAACAACGTCTTCTTCCACCAACTGTTTTCCTAATTACGGCATCATCTAGTACTAATAGGAAAAGTGTGACACCATTGTTGTTTTGAATGCACCATTGTTGCACTCCTGTCCCTGTGGAGAACTGTTGAGAAGGTTGTCGTTGATGGATAACTTTGGCA